TCCATTTCTACCATTGCATATGCTATAACTCACGTTTCATCATTTGGGTCAATGCCAACAACACAAAGTAGCTAACCTCCATGTACACCCTTGAAATGGAACCCATCTAATCTTATCATTTGTTTGCACCTTGACTTAAACCCCTATTTGCATGCTTCCAAGCACACATATATCCTTTGGAACCTCTGCCTATCCAACTTTACCTTTACTGTGCTTCTACGGTTAGTCTTCCTCACTTCCTCAGCAAAATCCCACAACTTTGTGTGTTGCTTTGCATGTTTTCCCTCAATGATCTTCAAAGCTTTATCGAACGCCCTATAAGCTTTCATTATTGTACAACTGTGATTCCACTCTGATTCCACAGTTGCTAAAAAGGAATCCACATGCCATGTGGGATTAAGTTTTATCCTGTCCATGTACAAATTTGTCAACAAAGAGGACTTCAAGTTCTTGTTTTCCTAAGTTCTCCCACAAGTGTGGTGATTAAGTATGGTCTTGATCTGTATGTTGTTTAAACCATGCATTTTTCCAGCACAACACATCCAAGGGCAGCATTTTGCACATTTTGCTATGACTTTCAACTTCTTATTCCTAGGAAAATGGATTTCCCCATATCCATTCATTAGGGAGTACATGATGACAGTTCGCTTGAATTGCATATGATCCCTGAAAACAAGCCCTAATGTAAAAGTGAGATTCTTCATGTCTGTTTTCTCATTGAACTCTAGAAAATGCTCATGTTTTTTGCCTCTTTCATCATATTTAAAGTGTACACTCTCCAGGGCATTAGAGTTATAGTTTGGATCATCAACCACATTTTGTTCCACGATTGCAGTATCAGCTTCTTCTTCCTTATGCTCTTCTTCTCTTTCCCAACTTTGCTCAGATCACCTTGCACTTTTTTGCTCATAATCCCTTTCATCTATTTGCTCATAGTTCCTTTTTTCCTGTGTTGAGATTCCTTTTCATTTTCTTCCACAATACCATCAAACTTAGAAAACACTGGGTTATCAGCATCATTCTCATATTCACTATCTTCAAACTCACTATCATCTTCTTTAACAACTTATTCATTATCTTTTTCAACATTCCCCTTAAAACTAATTGGTATATAAAAAAAGACTTCAGGATCCCCCTTTTCTACATCCCCCTTTCCTACCTTAGTATCCCTTTCTTCTCCTACCTAAGCCACATATTTCCCCTTGTTCTCCTCTGGCCCTTCACCATTTTTTCTCTCCTACCTCAATCACACATGTTTGCACTAGTTAAGATATGCAAAAATCATCCACTTATGGCCATTCAATAGCTAGCAAGCCCCTATATCTTCTTGGTTTAAGTGGTGTTGGCCCAACATCCTCCTCCGAACTACTTACCTCCTTAATTACCAATTTACTTGGACCATTGCCTTCCATGGACTTCAGAAATTGTTGCTCTTGGGTTATGGTTTCTTCTGTTGTCAATTCTTCAATGTAAATCTCAATCACTCTATCTTTTGGAACAAAATTGCACATCGTTTGAACATCGGAATCACTTTGAATCGACTTCAAACCATTACAAAGGTCCATGTTAGGAATCTGGTAATAGTAGTTCATGAACCGCTCACTATATCCAACTACCTTCATCATATCATTTATCATCGACAGTGACATGAGGTTTTTATCATAGTTATCTATATATGTCACTTTTCCCCCAGCATAGAGGTCATAACTTATCTCTCCACCATGATGCAATTCAATAGAGAATAGTTCTGGATATACAGAAATTCACAAAAATAAACCCTAATTAAAAGCCAACAACAAACAAAAGCAATTGCATTTTAACCTAATTAGAAGCTAATAAAAACCATAGCATAAGATACTTCACAAAACAAAGCACATGACTAAGAAAAGCCAAAGCCGACACATTGTATGCAAACAGCCAAAACACAATAACCATTTATTGACAAGAATAAACAAAGTAATAAAGCAACAAACCACCTTATCTTGACAAGAATAAAAAAAGCAACAAACCACCTTATATCGACAACAATAAACAAAGCAACAAACCCATAATCCAACAACTCAGTAACCATTTTGAATTAATAAAAACACATTTTCAAACAAGAATAAACAAATCTACAAACCCATTATCCAACACCTCAGGAACCATTTCGAATGAACAAAGCATAAATCCTCCCTTTCGAACAAGAATAAACAAAGCTACAAACCCTTTATCCAACACCTCAGGAACCGTTTTGACTTCACAAAACATAAATCCACATTTTCAAACAAGAATAAAAAAACCCACATTCAACCCATTCCAATAAATAAGTTAAGTATGCATTTGGAATCATTAAAAGCACAAAAAAAAACTTACAATAGGTAGGCGTCGTTTCGTCGAGATCCTCGCGCACGTACCATCCCATGTCAAATCCTTCGATTTTTCTTCGAAGCCAATGGAACCCAAATGAAACCCCCTTGCAACACCAACGAAGTGAGGGAAGCGAATTGACAAGATGATTTGGGGTTTTCATTGAATTTCTAATTTGATTGTTCGAGATTTGGAGCCGCTGGTATGAGAACTAGGGTTAGGGTTCTTGTTTTTCTGGATTTGGGAATCGATTTTGGTCGATAGGGTTTGGGTGCACCGGAGGGAAAAATTAATTCGAATGGCACACTTTACAATGTACTTTTACTTTTTTAAAATTTAAAATTTTAATTTAATTATTATTTTAATTTTAATGGAATATCCACATGTCATCTGATAAGAAAGCCACGTGTATTGGAAATTTCAGCTGGATGCCATTTGGGGGGAAAACATTGGGTGTGGTGCCACGTGGAATCCATTTGGGCGAGGAACTGGGCCTCACATTAGGCATTTAACTGAGAAATTCATGGACAAACTAATGGAGGTTTAACATTGCAACAAATTCTAAAGATGAGGTATGACATTGTCATTTTTAAAAGATGAGGTATGATAGTGTGGTTCAACCTATAGTTGAGGTAGTTTTTTGTAACTTGCCGTTTAAATTTAAATTAAGAGTTAACATATGTTATATTCTCTATTGCATTGCATGATTGAACAAATATGATTCATGAATTATTTGCTCCTATCAGTGGCAAAGCTACATAGTGAGGTCACCGAGTTGGATGAAGTATTGGTTAATCTTTTTTAACGTTACACTCTTTTAAGTTCACCCCTCTCCTGCCACTTCGTACTACGGTTTAGTGGTATTCTTCTGCACTAGTAAGTGAGAGGACTTAAGTTCGATTCTCACCAAAGGCAAATTTGAACTACATTAAGTGTAAATAATATTGTTTGTTCAAAAAAAAAAAGTTCGCCTCTCCCCCTACAATTCCTAGCTTTGCCACTGACTCCTATCACAAAAGCATTCATTCCTTGCAGAAATTAATACTAACATTCTATTAAATCAAACAAACGAGTAGCAGAAATTAACAGGAATAAATATGAACTGAAGTCCAAAATTAATTATGTGGAACTGAATTGTCTTAATCATTGCTCCAAAAATCTCCGTCTAGCGTCGCCTAGGCCCCGCATAGGTGCTAGACTGTTGGCCACTGCCCTGACTAGTGCCTAGACATTTGAAAATTATGAAAAGGCGCCTAGACCTGCTGAGGCGCCTGTTTAGGCCACCCAGGCACTCGCCTAGCCCGCCTAGACTCGCCTAGGCACCTATCTAGATTGCGACTCACTTACACAGAAAATAGATAACTTCCATTTTGCATATTATTTTGTTCAATAAATTGTAAGAGACTTGTTGAATACTTAAATGAACACACATTATATGCTTGTTCCTAATGTTTTCATTATGTTTCAGTACTTCATGATATATATATATATATATATGTCATTCTATTTTGTAGTTTATGATGAAATTATATCTATTTTAAGTATAAACATACACTTATTTACATGAAATATAATAGATTTACTTAAATCCGTCTAATCCGTCTAGGTCCCACCTGGCCGCTTAGACGCTAGGCTCCAACCTGCCGCCTGATTAACACCTAATGTCTTTTAGAACCTTGGTCTTAATTATAACTCATAACTTTATCAGACAAGTGCAAAGGGGGATCAGTATGAGAAGCGGTAGCTTGCCGTAAGTTTTAAAATTTAAACATGAAATTTATTCTAGCATCGATGTAGAAATTAAAACTAACTCATCAGCTTATGCTTTCTTCATTTGGGAACTCCAAGATGAAATGCGTCCACTCCGATATATGGATGTGAATTATATTCCGAAAATTTTGAGATTATTCTGAATTCAAAAATTTGAAATTTGAAATTTGACTTCAACCACATCTTAACCCATGGTTGAAGAATCAGGCGATCAAGAAAGTCTGCCCTTGAACTTGATAAAATGTCTGATCCGATCCATAAAAAAATCACTCATAATTCCTTTTAGTGTAAATAATATTGTTTAAAAAAATAATAAATAAGTAGTCTTGCCAAACGTAAATTTTTGGTTTGGAACAAAAAAATTGTTTTTGAAGTTAAAACAATAGATCCAAGTTGAATACCAAACAAGAAATTAGGCTTTCAAAGCCATAGAAAAAGAAGCAAGTGACTTGTAGTTTAGTTGGTTAAGAGTATTCACCTTTGCATCCGAGTCCTGTGTTTTATTCCCCACATCGTAGTTTGGATGAATTTAGGTCTTCCATAGCGGTTTAAGTGAGTGTGATACATATATAAAGAAATCAAGCATCATGAGTTTGACTTTTATAATGCTGTTGCTATACTAGTGTGAGTTCAATATATTTGCACAACAATTATGAGTTTGATATATCGAGCTTATGAGTCTAATATATTAAACTCACAAGTTCAATAACTTGGTATTACGTTCAAATTTTCTAACTCACTGTTTTAATATATATTATACTTTTGTTTGGAAAAAAAAAAGCCATTAAAAAAAATGTTCTTTCTTGTAGGTTTTGTACAGGTGGCGCGGTTTCAGTGGTTGCTAGGAAGGGAATACAATTCACCTTCCAACACCTGAGCCGTCAATCAGGTTTTATGTAGCCTCTCCTCTCCTTCTCCCACCCTCCCTCCATCCCTGGAGTCCCTCCCTCCTCCGACACCACCGCCAGGCCAACATAGAGGTCAGGACCTCCACTCTCAGCCCACAGCCACCCACGCCCTCTCCTTCTGTCCTTCTGTCTCTCTCCTCTGCAAACCATCAAATTCCTCAATTTGACCGCCTGAAGAAAGCGCCTTAAAGAGAGAGGTTTTCCTTCGCACATTAATTTCTAATTTTCCTCTTATTAATTTTCTAATTGAATTCTCGGCAACCTAAATCTCTGCTATACCTCGTATGAATTCTCAAACACCGATTTATGTAGTTAATTTTTGATTATTTAACGTTTCAACTGTCTCTGTAACCGAAAACATATCCAAATTTTACCTGTTTCATATCCATGTTTTTCACATGTTGGTGTGTTTTTTGTTTATAATTTTGTTTACTGTTATGTTTTGTTTAAGGAAAGATGGTGTCCGAGTTAATAAATGCGAATCCGGTCATCTACGAAAAGAAAGAGAGACGGGTTCGTAGTGTTCCAAGTGCTGCTGCAGATGAATATGCTGTTGAACCCATTGACCAACAAGAGATTTTCGATATCCTTTCAGTATATTCTTGTGTTTATGTATTTAACTGTATGAGCACATAAAGTATCTATGTGTATTTTGATACGTTTTACAAGTGAATATCAATCCATTGATTAACTTAATTGCTGTACCTTAATCTGAACCAGAGTAGTTTTATGTTTTTCCTTATATGCTGGGAAGAATTTAGTATTCCTTAACAATTCTTAAACCATATTAGAGATATAAAGGACCCGGAACACCCTTATTCGTTGGAGGAGCTCAAAGTGATAACAGAAGATGCAATTGAAGTTGATGATGGTCGTGGCTACGTCAGGTAGACAAACCTTTTTATGCTCATTTTAAAAAGATTTATCCTAATTTTGCCTTTGTTTTCAACCCTGTTGATGAAATGATGATTGTTTTCTTCAGGGTCACATTTACTCCTACGGTGGAACATTGTAGTATGGCAACGGTTATTGGTCTTTGCTTACGTGTTAAACTCTTAAGGAGCCTACCTTCTCGTTACAAGGTATGACCTTTATCTCTTGTGATTGACTTTGATTCACAATATTCTCTGTTACCATCTTATAAAGGTGAAATTGGGAGTGAATATTGGTACTCCATCAAATATTTTCATTTGTATTTCTGACTGTACTGTAGTTTTCTATAAGCTGTTGAGATGAAAGTAAAATGTAGTCATCGGTTCAATTTATGAGATTTGGGGGGTTGTGGAGAGGTTTTGTTTGGAGAGCTATGTGAATAGTATGGACGGAATAAATTTCCAGATCATTTTAGGGCATTTAGTGCTTAAGAGATCTTTGCTTGATATGATTCTTTTTAATCTCTTGTGGATCTCCAAGTTTCAGCTCAAACATATGTTTCCCTTTATACTTATTCTGAACTACAGCTGTTCTTTCGACTGAATTGACCAACCTATCACAGGGAAGCACTAAAACGCAATGTTGGAAAGAATTGTTGCATGAATTTGTATGACTTGATATGAAATTAACCGTTTGAATATAAGTACAAAAGAGTCATGCACCATTTTTTAAGTTGTGTGAATAGGCTCTCAAATTTTGTTGAAAATCAATAACAATTAGAGTCTACCTTTTGGCGGTGTTTTTGTGTGTATCCATTTACTGTTCTGATAGGATGATGAAATGCATCATTTTGTATGGGCTTTTGTTAAAGAGAATTAGTCCTTGACGGCATCTTCTGATATGCCCACTCTCCACATACAAGTTGGTATGGTTTTTGTGATGAATGTACCATTAGCTTGCTCTGGTGTATGTGCTCGTCCAAGAATAAAACATGCAGGCACACGAACGTGTACTCAAGGAATATTTTACAATAACCACTTGATATGAGGGTATACAATGAATTTATGATCAAATTATGATAAAAAAACAAGTAGTTAACTATGACTCCAACTTTCGTGTATTGCGAACTATTCTACCATTTTAACACTCTTGCGATGCCATTTAGAGATAATTCTTGACGCCCCATTTTACTCCGAATGTGAATAGCTGAGAACTTTCTGTCTATGATTCATGACCGTTTATTGATGTTTTTTATTTCTTCCCTATTGTGCATCTAATAGATTGTTGAATTCTTTATTTATTTGGTGGCGTTTTCTGCTGTACTGGTTAAAGTCTCAGCCATTGTAAGATGGGGAGTCTACCTGCTAATTTTTTTTTTTAATCTTTTCATGTTTAGGTGGATATTAGGGTGGCACCCGGATCTCATGCAACCGAAGCTGCAGGTATTATCTCTCTCTTTCTCTCTCTCTCTCTCTCCCTCTCTCCCTCCCTCTTTTCTGACACATGATAGGGCTTTGGAAGTTCCCATGATGCCAATTCACAATTTAGCGTAGAGCGACTCGTTCCGTCAAGCTTGCATTGCAAAGATTACTGACATCTTGTTACTAGAAAAGAAACAAAAAGTTACCGACATGTGTTTAGAAAAGCATTGGTCATTTCTCCAACCTCTATTAACTTCTCAATTATTGCTAATAAAGAGAGACGAAGTCAGTCTTACCTTTCAACTTGGTGATGGAATGATATGTTAAGGGACTATGGGACCTCAACATCCTAATAAATGTTTTAATAATTCTTGTCTAACATTCACGATTTTATTTTTCTTACGTATGCAGTTAATAAGCAACTGAATGATAAGGAACGGGTGGCTGCGGCGTTGGAGAACCCAGGCCTCGTTGATATGGTTGATGAATGCCTTTCTCCTTCGTATGAGTGAATGAATCGCTGATCAAATCAACTGGTCCAGTCATCGGTATGGTGCTTTTCTACCAGATCTTCATACATCTTGTGGCCACTCATGTTGATATAATTTGAATGGTCAGTTAAGATGGGGAATATTGGATTAAAAGAAATAGTTTCCCTTGTTTTAATGTTATGATCATTGTTTTTCCTGTAGAGATTAGTTTTGTAATAAGGTACCACAGAATAGCATTAGTTTATGTTTGGGAAATTTTATTTGAACCCATGTAATCTCTTTCTACGTCCAACTTACTCTCTTCATCCATATTTTTATTAAATAATTAATCTCGCTTTAAACCAAAATTTATTACCTAAACTACCATTTCAAATCCAATTCAACATGTTATCTTTACCCCCATTCTCTTTATAAAATAACATGTAATTGATTTTTTTTTTTTTTTTAAAGAGGTGATTTGCCCACCCCCTCCCCTCTTCCCACTAGTATTTCCATGGCTACTATTTTTTTTTTCTTTCTGCTACCAAATCCAGACATTTGCCTTTTTTCTTTCTACTGATTTGCATAAGCAACAAATCAAATAATTCATCCTCTTATATTTATGAACAAGCAAAGAAGTTTATAATCTAAGAACATTGGTAAGAAGTTTTTCCTTAGAATTTTCTAATTACAGAAAGTTTAACATATCATTCGGGATTGATGAAAAAATTTGAAACCCAAATACTCATTTACTAAACTTAAAAAAAAATTGAAATTAAACGAACAAAATATTCATAAATTGAGTCACATTTTATTTGGAAGATTCAAAACTTCAAAATCACCATCCATCAATAAAAAAACTTGTTTCTCTATAAGACATATTAGGGTTTTAGCCAGAATGAATGTAGGATAAACAAGGAGTGATAGTACAGTTTAATGGGTTTATTAATAAATTTGAGTTTTATTATTAATTTCATTTTTTACTTAATAGTAATTATGAAATAGGGTAAAGTAGATGATTAACAATTTAAATTTAAGTTGGGTATAAAAAGATGTTACATAGGTTCAAATAAAATTTCCCCTTATGTTATGTGATTTAGTTTAAGATTGTTGCAGTCATATTTAGAATAGGAATGTGATTGTGTAAATCCTAGGGAATATGAGAAAGTATCTTATATTCTTATTAGGATTAGATTACCTATTAAATATTGTAATTTTTACCCTTCCTACTACTATAAATAAAGGCACAATGGGATGAATCAAACATACCTCATAATTAAATCAAGGGTAAAAGACTGTTTACTACCCTCATGTTTCGTGGTTTTCAACATTTAGTACATCAAGTTTTTTTCGTCTCAGATTCATACCTAAAGTGTAAATTTTGGGACAGTCTCATACATCCGTTAGTCAAACTGTTAAGTTTTTCGTTAACTGTGACGTGGTGCACTGACTGGGCGTCACGTGTCATCCACGTTTTTTTTTTCTTTTTTTTTCTTCTTCCTTCTTCTTCCTCGGATTGCAACTTTTTTTTTTTTTTTTTTTTTTCCTTCCTCCTCGTTCTTCCTTCCTTCCTCCTTCCTTCCTTTCTTCCTTCTTCTTCCTTCTCATTCTCCTTATTCTTCCTCCGAATCTGGGGAAGCTTTTTTTTTTTTTTTTTTTTTTTTCTTCTTCTTCTTCTTCCTTCTCTTTCCTTCTTCTTCTTCTTCTTCTTCCTCCGAATCTACCCAGAGTTTTTTCTTTCTTCTTCTTCCTTCGAATCTGCCCAGATTCAGTTTTTTTTTTCTTCCTCCTTCTTCTCCTTCTTCCTTCCCCTTCTTCGTTCTTCTTCTTCCTCCGAATCAGGGGGAAGATGAAATTTTTTTTTTTTTTTTTTTTTTTTTTTTTTTGGAAAGAAGAAGAAGAAGAAGAAGAAGAAGAAGAAGGAAGGAAGGAGGAGGAAGAAGGGCAAGGAAGAAGGAGAAGAAGGAGGAAGAAAAAAAAAAGTTGCAGTCGGAGGAAGAAGAAGAAGAAGAAGAAGAAGAAGAAGGAAAAAAAAAAAAAAAAAAAAACAAACTTCCCCAGATTTCGGAGGAAGAAGAAGGAGAAGGAAGAAGAAGGAAGAAGGGGAAGGAAGAAGGAGGAAGAAGGAGGAGGAAGAAGAAGAAAGAAACAAAAAAAAAAAAAAAAAAAAAAAAAAAAACTTCCCCAAATTTCGGAGGAAGAAGAAGAAGAAGGAGAAGGAAGAAGAAGGAAGGAGGAAGGAAGAAGGAGAAGGAGGAAGAAAAAAAAAATTGCGATCTGAGGAAGAAGAAAAAGAAGAAGGAAGAAGAAAAGAAAAGAAAGAAAGAAAGGAAAAAAAAAATGGATGACACGTGGCGCCCAGTCAGTGCGCCACGTCACAGTTAACGGGAGACTTAACAGTTTGACTAACGGATGTATGAGACTGTATCAAAATTTACACTTTAGGTATGAATCTCAGACGAAAAAAACTTGATGTACTAAATGTTGAAAACCACAAAACATGAGGATAGTAAACAGTCTTTTACCCTTAAATCAATCTCTCCTCTCTCAATATTGCCGAACCCCTCTCTCTCTCTAAACCCTAGATCGTTCAATCAAAGAGGCCTACAACAAATATCAGTTTGTTGAATAATTATTGTTTGTTTGATAACTTTATTGTTTGTTTTAAAGAGAAATTAAACACAGGAGATTGGGGAGATAGATAAATTACAAGTTCTTCTACAAATTGCTTTAGCGTTTTTACAGTGTTTTTTCGATCCAAACGGTTAATTTTTAGGCCATTTTTCAAATACCTATCTCTACGAAAATCATTTAAATTTAGAACCATATTAGTATAGTTTGATGGCTATTTTAACAATATGAATGATGAACAAATTTTGGGTCATAGACTCATGGTTGTGATGATAAAATTGGTAGCATTTGCTATAAGAGAAAAATTAGATTCTACCACTTCTTTTTCACATTTTTTAAACTAAACATTTGTAGGTTTTTAAGTTTTAATTAAACTTTTAAAAATTTAATTAGGGTGCTTTAATTTATGTCCACATCAGCATGTTCTAATTTAATTCATTTATCTGTTATTAATGTATTTTTCTCAAAGTAAAAGGACATATAGACTCCTCATTTCCAGTTTATCCATTAATATCACTTATTAATTCTAAATTATCTCCCTAAAAATCAGAGACCATGTTTTCTGCTTTTTCGTTTCTCTCACCCAGTTCATCAAAAGAGAGATACAGGCGTGAAGACTTTTGCAGGGAAGAGAGAAAGAGATAGACATAGAATAACTACTAAAAAATAAGCTGCAATTTGTTAGGGGATATAGAGAGAATAGGCGTTCATAAACAACGATCTATTTTATTGGCATATGAATATTCCGCTATCCTTATATCCACCACTATTGAATATGCACACAAATTGCATCTTGTATCTCTTGACATGGATCACCACAATTTATTTTTCAAATAGAAACGTACCAATGTCAAATTAAAACGTACCAATATCAAATTAAAACGTACCATGCAATTTGAAACGTACTCGTTGTGCAACAAAAAATAATCACAAGGCGACATGTGAATTTTTTGGTAAAAGAGGACAAAAATACCCTTGAGGCATAACGAGATTCCTACGCGCGAGCGGTGGACAATCATCCTCAACCAAGTAAAAAATGCTCCAAAAAAGGTAACCAATTCCAATTTATCTCATCCATCCTCATTATAGGTAATTACTTCATAACCTATAAATTATCCCATAAAAATAGAGATTAATTGACTAATTAATGAATTAATTCCTAATTAATTCATTAATCACCAAATTAATCACCCATTATACCCCAAAAATCACACCAAGGGCCGGCCATTCCCATCCAAAAAGAGCCTATCATATTCTCTACCTTTTCCACCATTTTCCCTTTTTAATTATTTGGTAACTCCTAATTAAACCTAAATTAAACCCAAAAAACCCTAGCCACCTCCTATCCCTATAAATATACTCTCATTGTCACCAAAAAGCCAATTCCAACACTTTGGCAAAAATCCAAAATACTCTAAACACTATTTCTCTCTAAAATTCTAACTTTGGCATCGGAGGTTCTTCGGCCAAAGCCCCCCATTCATCGTGGGCGCGTGAGGTTTTTGGCCTTAACCTAAGGTGCTAGTTGTTTTGTAAGTGCAAAATCGTCCAAGATCGAGGAGGAGAAAATTTGCATCCACACTCATGTTCAAGTGAAACGTACCCACTATAATATCTAAAAGGAAATTGAGTCAATCGAAGCGAACTTTCCAAATGTACCATGGTAGGTCAAAAATTATGAAAATATTGATACAAAGTGTGGTAAAACAAAAGGCTTACGTTTTAGTGTCAATATTTAGATTTGAAGGTGTACAATATGTCGTACCCCACCGTCTTCGATGGCAATTTCACATTGGCGTGTGCTATCAATTAATACGGTGTGGAGTTGGAAGAAAAAGGTATGCAAGAAGCAGAAGCAAATATCAAGTCGTTTTTTAAATTGTAAGAGAATTTTTGTTGAAATTGAATACTGAATCATAACCACTTAGAGATTTTATAGCTAATTGGTAAAGTGCATATAATGGCAAATCGTGTAGTTTTGTATTATGTGGAACCTAAATTGTAGGAAGATGTTTAATCAAAATTCTAAAAAGCATGGATGTTTAATCTCAAAATTTCAAAAACTAGGCATCTTTTACTGTTGGAAAAATATTTTTTGACACAATGTTTTGGTCATAAGAAAATCATCGGAAATAAAATAATTTTGCAACCACATTGACATGTCGAAAATAAAATAATTTTTCCATTTTGAATATTCATTTCCGACGGAAAGATAACTAGTAACGACAAGCCTCATGCCATGGAAATGAAGCATTTTCGACGGTTGGTCGAGAAAAAAGTATTTCCAATGGAGCAATTTTTGATGCCCAGGGAGGTTTTTTCGTGTCGGAAATAAGTATTTACAACGGCAAATTGCCTTTTTCAACAACATTTTACCCTCGTTAATGATGTTTAATTTTGTAGTGACAGGTCAGGTCACTTTACCCAATTGGTAAAATTACATGACCCATTAAGAAAAATATTTTTTTTCTTAAATTTGCACACACCACATTGCCACATAAATATTACTTCAAAACATAACACATTTGTCGTTAAGTACTACATTTACACTCCAAAATAAGAGCCTAATAAAAAAGAATCAATACACTACTAGGCTACTACAAAATCAAATGTGCAAGGATATGCAAAATGAAGGAGTTTTTCTTTTCAAGGTTGTGAAGCCTTTCTCAGAAGTTAAAACCTTGCCAATGGAACTCAAAGCTTGCATGTTATTCCTTTTACAAAATCCTTCAATTTT